ACCGTCCGCTCGCTCTTCACGCGCCCACGGGACACTCGGGGCTGGGACGAGGCGCGGAGCAGCCGTCCCATACTGGAGATGAGCCAAGTGCTCCAGGCTCAGACAGCTGTGCCCGTCCCCAGTGCCTGCAGTGCAGTCTGCAGAGCTGGGCTAAGCCTCACCTGTCCCACAGTGAAGTATCACCTACGTCATTTCTTTCATCCCACCTTCCTACAGGAGGGGTTTTTTTCCCAAAAGGATGAAGCATCTTCCTTTTATACCTCGGAGAAGCAGAGCTTTTGCTTCCCTTCTGGTCAGTCTAGGCCTGTAAACCATTCTTCTATACTATTTCCTTCAGCAGCTCGTGCCCTTTAAAACTCCAGGAGAGGGAGAGGGCCAGCAGTTCTTGCTGCTTAACATGTGTGTACATATGTTGGCTCAGTTGAGACAGCTGCTTTGGTGCCTGCCAGTAGTGGTGCACTTTTTCATCTCCAGATAAGATATCATGCCTGCATTTGCCTAAGGTGCTCTGTCACAGATGTTCTTCTCTGGCACAGATGCTTTGAGACAAAGGAGATTCACAGCTGCTTCTTTTACAGTTGCCTCTCCTCACATGTTGACATGCCCTCTAACCCTGGCGCCTGTGGCTCTTCAGAGATGCAGTTTAGCGGTTTTCCAGTGTGAGGGAAATCCAGTTTTCCTGATGTGATGCTGCCAACATCAACAGAGAGGTCTACTGCAGGTAACATTTGATATTCAGACACATAATATATCCAGCCTCTTTTCCCTAGAATATACCTGTGGTACAGGGATGCCATGGAAGAGGGGTGGGATGGACAAGAACTAACCTGATAAGAGAGTGTAGTTTGGCAGCAACAGTCAGGGACATATTTGCCATTCTCAGCAGCATCAGACTAGGCAGCCCATATGTGGCCTAAATTTCTAGGCAAGATGAGATGTCTGATAAAGGAAGAGGATGGGGACACCATTTATTTCCACCCCTTTTCCCTTATTAAGCAGACTTTCCTTTGGAAAAGCTTGGATTCCTGGTAACTCCTCCAATATTCGGTATTTAATTTCCACTGCAAGGCCTAAAGGCTCCTACAAGTTCACTTGCTGTGCAGACAAGTTTCCTTCCCGACAGCGCTTTTTTAAGAAAACTCCATGTTACCCAGTTCCTCTTTTGCAGTGGCTAGCTTTAGGCTAAGCCTGCCTTTTTACAAGTGGCTGAAAGAAAAACAGAGTCTATAGAAACCGTAAGCTCAGCAAAAGGGTTTCAGAGGTTTTGCTGGCTGAGCTTTGGGTTTGAGGTACAGGCTCTTCCCTTTTAGAGTAGGATCCACGTCCTCATTCTGCCATTCACTCACGATGGCCCTGGCTACTGAAATCACCGAAGCCAACTGCAATGGAAGGTTTGGCTGCTACAGTGACCAGTGTGTCTGCAGCACACCGGCCTTGCAGTCACCCTTGCCGTTCGTGCACAGCCATTCTCGGAGACACAGCTCCCTCAGGTGGTGCCTTTAACAGCTGTAAAACCTCCAGGAAAGCAGAGATGGAAGAAAACAGCAGTGCCAGCATAAACCTACAAGTACTCCCTTCTCATACAAGTGGAGAAATTAGCATCCCACTCCCAGCAGGAATATTAACAGGAGCATCACGGGAGCATCTCAGGCCTACAGACCAACCCTTGCTCTCCCACTTGCCAGGGCAGGGCAAGCCACCAAGGGACAAGCAAGACACACCATCATTGTGAGATGAGGGATCAGGAGTAAGAACAGAGCAGGGGCAGAGCAGGGCAAGACCCCGGTCCCCTGGCACAGAGTTTCTTTCTAGGGCAGGAGCTTAGTGAGTTTCTTCCCAGCAGGATCCTCCAGAAAACCTGCCAATAAGCACAGAGGGTCTCTGGGGCACCCAGCCAAATGGGGAGTGGGCTGAAGCAGGCTTTGGGAAGAGCTCGTCATGGAAGCACTTGAGGTGCATGCATGTTTCATGAAAGAAAAACTGGAGGCCAGGGCACCTTTCCATAGGAACTTGTTGGCAAACAAGAACTCCCTTATTTCATTCCTACTCTTCACAGGAAAGCTCATTTTGCCTTTAACAGAGGAAGAGGGGGTTTTCTAACTCCAATTGCTAACAGCAGCAGTCCTGGACATTTTATCCTGTGGCTCTTCAAGGGCTAGTTGTCCTAATGCACCAGCCTCACCACCTGTCCCCATTTCACTAGTGTTCAGCCAGGGAGTGCCAAGCACAGAAATGCTGTTTTGGGATGCCCGCAGGCAGGTTTGTTTCAGAGCTGTTCCCCTGCAGGGGTTTGCAGTTGCCATGCCCAGCACATCTCTGCTCACACCCCTCTGCTTTGCACCGTGCTCGCTCGCCTGCCCCACACCACTGGAAAGGGCTGGGAAGGAAAGCAGGTATTTGTGTGGGAGGCCAGGCAGCAGCCCGAAACACTTGCCTGCTGTTATTGTGTGGGCATAGAAAGTGTGTGGGAAATGCAACCAATGAGCATCTCTGTTGTGGGGTTATCTCTTCCTGTTATCTCAAAACTACATTTCGGATGCACCAAAGGCACAAACTGTCGAACAATGTCACCCACACCAAAGGCGGGTCAGGCAGCGGCTCCTGAGTGCTGCTGACACCAGGTGGGCAGGATAAACCTCGCCCCAGTCATTTGTCTGCCCTAGTCTTTGCTTTCTCCTTCCCTCTGCAGGTGTCAACTGGCAGATCACTCTGGTGATGCAGTGGCCAGGGAGGGAGAGCAGGGCCTGCCAGCACTGTGGGCTCTGGGCTGATGGCACTCACCACAAGCCCAGAGAGACTCAAAGAAGGGAGAGTTGGCATCAGCTGTGCACTCCCCATGTCAGAAGGCAGCAAAGAGGTGTAGTACCTCTCTTCAACCCTGTCAGAGCCAGGGATCACTCCTGACAGCACTGGCAAAGGCTGCCAACAGCAAAGCAACCTGGAGCAGGGCTTCTCGGGGTAGGCACGATCAGGAGGCATGATCATGATCATGCTTTGAAGCCATGAGGGCACCTTGGAAGTCCCCTCTCCTCCCTTAGGCTGACATGTGCATAGGTGGAGTCCTGAGGTGTCGTTTGAAGAGGGAAAATAAACTGCTCAGAGTGGGCGTTTTGTAGGAAAGGAAAGCTAGAACAGACAGTACTGCTGCAACGGTGCTGCCTGGGGAAGGGTAACAGGAGGTGAGAGCAAGGCAGCTGGTCCTCAGATTAAAAAGGGAGGGGGAAGCAGGAGGCCCAGCAAGGCATGCAATGCATGCCCCTGCCCAAAGGGTAAATTGCAGTTCAGATGAGAGCTCTGTATGGAAAGACACATTCCAGGACTGCAAGTCAGTGTCTTTTCCCCATAGCATCATTTCGGCAAACATCCCCAAAAAGACATTTGTACTAGCTATGGTTTCCTTCTTGACCTTTGACAGGCTCAGAGTTTTATTTTAGTTTAGCCTGGACAGGCTAATGCCCAGCTGACACACAAGCAGGTCTTATCTGCTTTACTAGAAAGGCCAAGTTTGGGCAGCAAGTGCTGCTGATACCACGTGGACTAACACTGGGGTAGAAGATTTGTATCTTCTACAGAACCAACCATTTTTTTTGTGTGTGCCTGCTCAGCCTGCCCATCTGGCGAGCACTGCAGGACCACAGCACAACTACAGACCTGCTTTGGTCACAGGTCTGCACTTCCCTCCCATTCCTTCAGCACCTGGCTCTGCAGCACACCACCAAGCAAAACTGCCCCCTGCTAATACCCAGGCAGCATGAACTGCATCTCTCTGAACAGGGAGGATGAGGCAGCACATGGATAAGGATGTCAGTCATCTCATCTCATTGCCCTTAAGAGAATGGGAAAAAACTCCCCACCTCCTGTGACTCACTGGTGGATTCATCTACGAAAGAAGAACCAAGAAATGCTACAGCAAGCACCACCAGAGCCAAGCACTTCCTGTTATTTCTTAGGTCCCAATGTCAGCTGATTTTCCAGAACTGAAACATCCTCTACAGCATAAAACCTCAGATTTGAATGCTCCGTGACACACATTTCAGAAAAATTGCTGACTTATCAAGGATGCACCAATTCACACTGTACAAGTATCACCCGCTGCAGCATGTCAGGAACAAATATGAGGCATCACAAAAACAGTGGTGGCTATCAAAGAAAAAAGCATCCATCAAGAATAAGTATTGCCCTGGTGAGTTTTCCATTGCACAGGCATACTCTGTGCTCGTAGTACTTTCTTGCCTGACAAGGACTGTGTTTTGGTGTAAGTCCACCCAACAGGGCTAAATTCAGCTCTTCTTTGTTTAGCTTCGAGCCTCTTGGCATGTAAGATGGAAACATTCAGCTGAAAAAAAGTCCCATAACTCAGTGAGTTGGCTGAGGCTGGTTCAGCAACGGGGTGGAGGGCAGCATTAAGACACACACCTCCACACTTCACTCATGCCCACTGCTGTGGCCTCTGTCCTGCCCTGTACTCAGGGTGCCCACTGGCAGCCCTGCTCCCCAGGGAGGTGAGCCAAGGGCAGCTCTTGGGTATGCTCAGCCCTCCCATGTCTTAAGCTGAGACAACAGAGGTTTCCACAGTTCATGGGGTTGTCTCAAGCACAGTCTTGAAGGCAGGTTTAGACCCAGTTTGTGACTTACAGTGGAAAAGCTTCTTGCCTCCCATTCCCACTCTGAGCATGACTTAGCTTTGTGCTGCAGTTCCTTGCTGGAAGATCAAACACAGCTTTGTGCTGGGCCAGAGTCACCCTGACATCACCTCAGACACACACACTGGTGCTCTCCCACAAGGAGCTGTGCTGGTGTCACCCCACCAGCCCCAGGCAGAGGAGGGCCCCACACTCAGGTGGCAGCCAGTACCTCCCAGGGATGATGTGAAACCTCCTGCAACCAGGATTCTGTGGCCCAGGGACCAAAACGGTTTTGTTGCCTCCTTTGTGTCAAAGTGAGATGACAAATACTAAAGCACCAACCAGCACAGGTGTGGACTAAGATCCTCTCCACCCAGTCTCTTCTTTATTCATTCACTGCAGGGACATAGCGTAGGGTGTGTTACAAAATAAACCATGAAATGTTTACCAGGTGCAACTTTAATGAGTGAAAGCCCTAAAACAAGCTGCAGGAAGCTAAGGCAAGAGCAAGTAACACTCCCAGGGCTGTGCCCAGTGTCAGAGTTCAAGAGAAGTGACTGAGTTCTGGAAGAGGCAGAGACCTCCTTCTCCTGACAAGTTACTTCCCTTCCCTTATACCAGAAGGGTATACCAGTCAGATTTCTGAGCAGAAACAAAGGATGGCTGGTTTATTTCCACTGGAATGTGTAGGATAGTCAAACCTGCAAGAGGTATTATGTGTTCTTCTGCCTAACACCAACAAACTAGCTGGATGTCTCATACTCTGTGTCTCTCACAGCTCTCTCCTCCTTCACCTGCACTGCCTCTTACACCAGATGGGCCAGTGTATCCATTCAGTCATTGCTCTGAAAAAGGCCTGTCCTCTCTTGGCCCCTCAGCTGTAGAGGAGGTTTGTGAACATCCCCAAGGACCAGAGGAGTGAGCAGTGTCCAGCACACAGAGGGTGATGCAGGTACAGCTACCACAGTTCAACTTCTCCCTTTTGAGAGGGAGGTCTCTCAGCAGCTCTCTGTCATCACCTTGTTGTATGTGAGGTGTTTCTCAGCAAAATCAAGAAACACGGTCTCTTCACCCTGAGCAGGAGGACCTGTGCCAGAAAGCCATGAGAATTCAGACAATGCCACCAGTGATCAGACTGCTTGGCAGTTCATAATGCTTGTTTCATGAGCCAACAGGTACCAGAACTCTTCTAGGAGAAAAAAAAAATTGTCTGGATAGCTAAACAGGCATGCTGAGAATAAAAGTTTGTTTTATTTGCCAACAAGTCACAGAAAACTGAGCTGAAACAGTCATTGGAAGGGCACTGTAGCATGTTCTCCTGGCCCTCAGCAGGACGAGGATGCCTCACAGGCAGTTGTCTCATCCACCCTTTGAAACCCCCAGTGCTGGAGACCCTCTCCCAGAGGAAACACTATTTCAGTGTTTCATCTAGAAAAAAAATATCCTGACCTAACTCTCCCTTGCTGCACTTTAAGCCCATGGTTTCTTGTTCTAAACACAGTGGAGAAAGGGAAAAGCTTGTGTTTTTCCCACGCAGGTGCTTCAAGGCTCTCATATGTCCTTTCAGTGTTTTCTTCTCTGCATTAGATGACACTGATTCTTTCAACTTCAGGCAAGCATTTAAGTACAGACAACTATTTTTTGGTCCAGGAGGCCATATATTTGTATTTGATGCTGAAGCCAGAGAGCTGTCCTAATGAGTGGCAGGAGGAATATACATGACAAAACCCCATAAGATCCATGGGTCCGTTTTTATCAAGAAGAGCTTTCGCTTCTTCTTGGTATCAACCATCCAAAAAGCACGAAGATAACAAAGAGTGGTAAAAACAAGTGAACCACAGAAAGACACAGGCTTCAAGGCTCAATGCTCCATACCCTAACATGGAGACACATGAAGAAAAATGGCCACAGGGATGAATGCCCATCACCTTGAATCTCCTCCACCGGGTCTCTTCATCTCCATTTGATGCTCTCTCTCTCTCTCTCACTAATTTTCTGCAACAAAAGCTGTTGTTTCATAGCTGAGCATTACGCAAGGCTGGGCGGGAGGCGCTCCCGACTTTTGGAAACTTCTTTTCCCCGGTGAACGGCGGAGCAGAGAGGCGACCATCCCTCCTCCCGGGATGCACGTTTAAGGTCTTTCTTTCGGGTGGTTCGGAGTCCGGGGCTGAGTGCGGGGCCGGGGCCGCGGGGGCTGCGGCTGCTGCTGCCCTTGGGGCTGCGGCAGCGGCCGCTGCTGCACCCGCACCTGCTTCGGGGTGGGAGCGTAGGGTGTCGGGGGCAGCTCCCGCACCGCCCTGTCGCACTCCGCCGGCAGGGTCTGCATCATCCGCTGCTCATCTGCAACGACAGAAGGACCCCGCGCTCAGGCACACGCTAAGAAGTCAAACAGCCAGGGAAACGTCCTTGGCCCCAAGCAGGAAAAAGGCCAAGTGTCCATCTTAACCTGCCGCTCTCAAAGGTGTTCCTGCTATCCCAGTGAACAAGAAAAATCACCTCTGCCTGCACAACCTGGGGAAACGTGGAAACTTTTTTTTATCTGCTCTGTCTTCTTTTGGAGGCTACTGAAGGGAAAGTGAGATGTAACACCAGGAGGCAGCATCAAAGCACTCTGCCCTGCCATTGTCCGTGCTGGGATTTCCAGACACCTGGAAGCCAGGGATCCCTTTTATCATCAATTTTCTCACATACAGAAGAAGTAAATTCATGCCAGCTGACTTCTGATCATGGACTCATCATTCTGAAATGTCACTCAGCTTAATTTAGGGATTGAGGGATTTACCTCTTGGGAGGCTGAGTTGGCCTTAAGCACACACCAAACTGTTTCAAAGAGGCTGGTCACCCTCTTACATTAGTTCTCATTTTCCCAGACTTGTTTTCTTAATTCTTGCTGAGTCCAGACCCAAGAATTGAGGATATGGTGTCACTGCACAGTTGAAGGAATAATCTATACCACTCAAATGGGAAAAGCTATAATGTAAAATAACACTCAGATGGTTGAGCTCACCCCAGCATTGCACTCACAAGGTATAGCAAACCTTCTGAGACAACATCCCATGCTCGCACTGCTGTGAGCTCTCCCAGAAAATAGGAAAGCACTTTCCTGTTCTTTACAGTCATAGCTTTAGGAAAAGCAGGAGAGCCATGGAAAGTTACCTGTGCTCAGGTGTGGTGAGGCTGCTCTCACCTCAGCCATGGGACTGATCATGCTCACCCTTGTTGTCAGCCTGACCACTGGCATCTTTGAGGTACAGCTGAGGTTTCCTTCAGGAATCGCCCTCTTTATCTTGACAAAGGCTGCTGTGGTATACAGAGCAGCTTCTACTCCCATTTTGTAACTCAAGAACTGACTGACACAGAGACTAGCTTTTTTTTTGAGACCACACAGGAAGCCTCACACAGTGCGTGAGGGAAGAACTCAGAAAAAAAGCCTTTAAACAGCCTCTGCCAGGGCAACCTCCCTCCTGCTTTAGCCTCCAGGTAGGCTAGACAATTCTTCTTGAGCAGGAGCCCAGTGTCCTCTGCCCACCCAAACCAGCAGGAATGCCCAGGCCGTGTGTAATTCAAAGCAACCTCTGTCAAGTCTGAGAGCCCACTCTCAGAGAGGACTCTGCCAGAGTATTTCCTGTGGTCTGAAAGAGGCATGAATTTTGGACAACAGATGAGACCTCTGCACACTCTGAAAACTTCAACACTTAAAAAGTGCCCCAAGTTGGACCTCCAGTGTTGACAGGCCTCCAAGGACGTTGTTTGCAGAGGGGAAAAAGTGCTGTGAGATACCTGAGGAAACACATAGAAAAGCTGAGCCCTTCTTGCCCCTCCTCATTATCTAGACTATTTCTGCATGTTACTAATGTTGTTAAGCATCCAAATTTTATACCACATAAATTTAATGAAAAAAAAACCTGCTGACAGGCTATCTAAGTGTATATTTTAGCCCCATGGATGCTCCTGACTGGTGACCTTGGCCAAGTTTTAGAGGAGCAATTCTTCCCCCACAAGTAAACAAAAGGGCTTGAGAACAAGAAGTCCTTTGTTCAAGGCATTTATCAGAAAGTGAGACTGCCAACGCCAGCTGATCTGCTCAGACTCACCATATGCTAAAATCAGGTTATTGCTCATGACAAGGCAGAGAGCACACTCCTGACCACGGGAAAGTTCAGCGGGAAGCTCTAGGATTTTAGGTGTCTGGGTAGCAACATAAAGCCCCTTAAACACTTACCATCACCTTCACGCCTTTTTGCTTTCCTCCTCCTGATACAACAAATAAGCCAAATCACAAAGATGACAAAAACGAGTGCACCGCCCGCTATGCTTAAGATGAGATAAAGGTCCAGCTTGCCTAGTTAAGAGGATGAAAGAGGAGGTTAGATGGAAGGAAATAACTCGCACAACATCTACTTAGAATTCTGTATTTTCTTCCATTGACTGTAAAGGCAGAGCATGCCTTTTCTGGAGAATTTTGATTGCTCCATAATGGATTCGAGTTCTGCAGAAAATTGAAACCAGAGCATTCATGTGTGCCAGCTCATCTTATTTAAATTACCACAAATGCCTGGTTCTTGCTAGCAATGGACCCATTTACGGACAATGAGCATCCAGGCAGTACTCAACATCTAACAAAAATAAACTTTTTAAGTACTTTCTACTGAGCTGGAAACACTGAGACTAGCTCGCTTCACAGTATTTTGGTACTTCCTCTTCAATTTTTGGCTGTACACAAATTAAAAAAAAAAAAACAGTAAAAAGGAAAAGAACATAACCAAATACATCACAGTCTCAAAACGAGAGTTTGGTTTGCCTGTATGCAAAAATTTATATGAGTCTTCTCGCTCCTTCACCACAGAAGGTTTGCTGGATGCTGGCCTTCCTTCACCACCTCCTGCTCGGGCTGTCCTCCTGGCATTCAGTGATAACACTGGAGCACAGGTGCCATGGAGCTGAACCCAGCAGAAGTGCACCTTCCTTGGCTTCTTAGGGGACAAAGCTCCAAAGGGGACACCACCACTGGTACCACCCTCATCATTCAGTGGGCGTGCACATGGAGGGCAAAGAGCAAGGACACAAAGCTGAGATGTCTGCACTATAAAGATCACACCATCAGCCTGGGCTGCCCCAGTGGAAAAAAAAAAGATGAGTACCCTCAGGGATGTGGTTCTTCTCACCTGTTTTAGCTGCAAAAGACACTGCGGTGTATTTTGCCCTTTCTGTACCTGTTTCTCCCAGCCGACTGTAAGAGGAGCCCAGGCAGATTCACATATTTTCATACACTTTTCATACACTTGTATGAAAAGTTAGCTGAGCTGAAACCCACCTGAAGCATGCCTTGCTTGCTAGAAGTCAAAATTCAGGGTGATTGGTTTCTATTGCAGGGCCAAGTATTCAAAGAGGATAGCAGGGTTGGAAAGAGGTTCGACTGAAAGGTGAGGGATTTTTAATCCACTATGGATCTGGAAAACTCCTGCCACCACACAGAAAGGTTCGAGGGTTTTTTAGTTTGAGGAGGGAGGGTAGTGCTAACTGGGTTTAGAGGTTTTTTGGTGTCTGAGAAATGCCATATTTGTACCTTAAAAATTGGTATGGCAAACCTTTCATTTCCCTGTTAATAATGTGAGAAAAAAAACCCTCTCCCACCCAACTCCCACCCTGTGAAAGAAGAGCATTTTTCAAGGGTGAGAAGAGGTGAAATCTGTGTTATCTAGCTGATGGTTAATGTCTGCCTATACCAGCAGTACAGGTGGGCCTGTTCTTGCCTGGCTTGTGCCCTGGCATAGCCAGCTTCTGCCAGCATTTCCTCGTCAAGACAAGGTGTTTGGGATAGTTTGCCCTGCTGTAAACAGCCCTAATCCAGCAGCACACACTCATTCCTCTTGCCCCTTCCCAGTGCAGTCCATCAGGTCAGGCAGCTCATGCAGCAGCAAAAAACCCACCTTGTTCAGCTATATTAGGCATCAGGAGGGTCTCTCAGGAGGCAAGGGCGGCACCGGGGAGCAGAGACCACCCTGTCCCTCAGCTCTGTGCCCTTCAGTCAGCCTCAGCTGTAAAACCTGTATACCTTAGGGCTCGTTCCCTCCCTCCTCACACCATGGGCTGACCTCCAGATTTGGACTTTCCCTCAATTCACTGTGGCAGAAATAGATGGATATTGGAAATACTGAGCCAGCTCTCTCAAGCCTGCCCCCCACCCCCTGCTCCACTAGCTCCAGCAGGAATCTGGAGCCAGGGAATGCTTCAAGCAAAGCCCTTGAGATTGGGTGGGATGAACCCAAGCCCAGCAAATTCAAGGACTTTTCCCCAGTTATGCACTGGAATTCTGAACTTTGAAGAGAACACCACATCCAGTGTCATACCAGTATAATCTGTCCTTTGTTTCTGCCTTAACTTTCAGAACTTTTACTGGGGGGAGAAAATGAATCACACAATGACTTCTTTTGCCTATTTAATAATTTTTCAGCATGACCCTGACCATTTAAAATGCAATTCCTTCAGCCCTTTTGCTGCACCTGTGATTTAGAAAGATGATACTTCAACTGAGTAAGAAAAACCATAGAAAGATCACACTTCACCTGAGTGAGAGAAACCATGGTACACTTGAGCCATGCTCATCTGAGCCATGCAAACCCACAGCTTAGCTAAATTCTCCATAACTTCTCTCCTGATTTCTAGGCCAAGCTGGAGAGTTCCAGCAGCTTATTTTTCCCCTTGTGAGAGCACCCTTCCACATCCACATGTGGCAGGCAACCACCACCTTCATAGACATGATTACACAGAGGAGGAAACACACAGGTGATTTCTCCATTACGAGGATGTAAATCAAAAGCAAATCCTCTGAAATCAATGTTGTGGCTCTGCATACACATGAGAAGATCCCAGGCCATATTTTCCAAAAGTAAACTGTTAATTTGTGTTGTGGTAGTTTGTGTAGTTTTATACTGTATTACTGAAGACAACTCTTTGGCTTTGGACCACTTGACTGAAGTCAACCTTTGGGAAGCACCATTAGTTTTAAAGGAACAAAGGAGGATAAAAATTAAGAGGAAAGTGCTTTCTGCCTTTTGCAGACTGCTGTATGTCATTAACACACTTTCAGGCCCACTTCCCTGCTTTCTTCTTTACTTCATCAGTCTACCACTAGTGGTGGTCGACACCACTCAAGTCTATCAAGGAAGCTGACACCAAAAAGTCTGTTAAGGTACTTCTGGCAGCTTTTGGCAGAAGAGTCAGCAGTGATGGAGGGGAGGGAGAAAATGATGGGATAACCAAGGATCTCTCTCTGATTCATTCACCCTGAGACAGCCTGATCTATCTGGGAGGCTGAAGTTTCCCTCAGGAGACTTCACCTCGAGTGGGAGAAGCACTGCAGTGCACCCTGGAGACCTCATTACCACCCACAAGGCTCTTGACTCCAGGAAAAACCTGTCCCACTCTTCCTGCAACCCCCAGACCTCATTCACATCCCGGCTACCACAGCAGCATCAGCTCCCAGTAACTGTGCCAACATTAGGCTCCCAGTACCGAGTACCCAGGACCATCAGTGCTCCTGGCACCTGGACCAGTCCTACATGTATGTGCAACTGCATCAGGCTGTGTGGGTCCACCCTAGCAGATTCTGACAAAAGAAAGCTCTTACCTGAGCACTTAATTTCTTTTTCAACCATTTTTTCACTGACTTGGTTCTTAACAGCACATCTGAATGTCCCAGAATGCCGTGTCTGCAATTCCAACATGGCTGCACTCTTTTGGATTTTTCTGCCATTAGGTTGAGTCAGTTCTATAGTAAATTCTTCACCTTTAGCCTTGAGGTCCACTTCACACTTGACAGATACAGTTTTATTCATGCATTCAGTGCTAAGGATTGGCTGAGGGACGGGCTCTGAAAGAGAAGAGAAGGGACAGGCACATCTGAGATGGTTTCTCCTTTCGAAAACCTCCATTATTAAGCAGAGCAGAGAATTAACCTCAAATAACCAGATAATGAGAATGAACCTGCTAACAGGAGAATGAACCTGCTAACAGAAGAATGAAGAGCAAATTAGGCCTCTACTGCAGAAGTCACAAGGCCATAACAAAGAAAGTGCAGTGCAGTAGCCTACATATTTGGCCCAGCAAAGCAGAGCTGCACCACTGTGGCTGGGCTGCTTTCAGTCTCAGCCTGGCTCACAGCCAGCCAGGCAGGTGAAGGGAGGAAGCTGGGATTCCAGGGAGGCAGTGGATGGCAGAGGCTCAGAGCCACAGCCCCCTCCAACTCCAGCCCCCGTGTCTTGGTGAAAATGAAGTTGGCCCTGCTCTGCCTGTGCCCATCGGGACAGATTCTCTCTAAAGCAGGAAAAACAACTGCTTATGATGCTCTGTGTACTACCAACAGCACTCAGCCAGCTCAACAGCCACAGCATGAAAGCCCATCAAACCAGAATGGAAAACACAAAACAGACACCTCAGCTCTCAGTGAGGTTGTGACAGAGAAAACTGATTTCTGTCTTTTCTTACGCCCTGCAAACAACCAGTTACGTTTTAGTTCCAGTTTCTCTATCACTGGTGGCATTGAAAGAGCCAGAAAAGCCTGTGGGGTTTTCCTCAACTAGGGGCAACTGGCAGGGACAGCAAATGGAAAAAAAGATATTTCACAGAATATTCTGAGTCGGAAGGGACCCACAAGGATCATCAAGTCCAACTCATAAGTGAATTGCCCCTACAGGGATCACACCCACAACCTTGGCATTGTTAGCACTGTGCTCTCATCAACTGAGCTAATCTCAGAGTCCACCTGTTAGACCAAGTAAATAAAAACCTGCCAGGGTCACCTCTAGTTACAGGCAGTGTAAGTTATGGAGATCATAAATTTTAAAGCCAGTGAGGGCTGTTCATGGCACATGCAGTTTGGGTTCACACATGACATCTGCAGCCACACTTTCACTGTTAAGTCCACGCCTCTTCTGCAAACTGTAACCAGTTATTCAGGGGAACATCCCAGCGTGAAACACTAGAGTCCAGGTGCTGATGATGGAGTTGTGTCAGGATATCATTGAAACTGCGTTTTGGTTTTTTTTAACAGCTCTTTGCCCAGCCCTAGTAACAAGGGGGTAACCTCGCTGCCAAATTACTCCAGCGCCCAAGAGTTACTACAGGACTTTACTTCCAAAAATGTGTGTCAGAGGTAAGGCAACCTCTCTGCACAGCACTGCTGCATAGTGGAGGAAATGATGCAGCACACAGCTAGGTTGGAACATTAACCTTAACCTGAAACAAGGACACCCCAATGACAGTTCAGTGGCCTAAAACATGAGCAAACAGCATCAGGCCCTGATGACTTTCTGAATCTGTTTGCAATAATAGTTCTCAAAGCTGCCTCATCAGGGCATCATTTCTGTAGTGCCAGTTGGTGCCCAGGAACTTGAGAGGTTGGCAAAGGTGTGCATGCTGGCTGAAGAAGGACAGAGCAAAACTATCTTCTTTTTGGGGAAAAAATACATGCTGCCCTACAGCTTAGAGGCCTGGAGAGGTGGCAGCAGCCATAAAGGAGCAGAATAACCATTCCCCATCTTCCCTGCTCATCTGAAAAACTTTGGGCTGCTACTGCTCTGATCCCTAAGGACAAGATTCAGCAAAGGCTGCCTTCATGCCTTGAGCCCATGCAGCTGAAATCCCCAGGTGTGTGCTTAACTGTGCTTTGAACAGCATCCTGCTTCCAGAAACCTCTTGTGGGAACCCAGCAGCCTACGTGAGGTTTCTGGAAGCAGGATGCTGCTGGGAGCCCAGCCCCCCTCGCAGGGTGCTACCCCAGCCCAGGGTCCCAGCACCACCGGTGGTGCTGCAGTAGGGCTGACCACACCCACCCTGCTCTCAACACAAATCTGCTCACAGCTGCTTTCTTGGGCACTTGCAGAAATCTGGTGGCTGACAAGCAGGGGAGCCAGAAAGAAGGCAGGGGTCTCAGGCTGTCTGTAAGAGCAGGAGAAGGGAGAAGAGAGGCAGACTGCTGTCAGTGGTGGGAGGAAGAAGGTATGTGTTACAGAAGTCCCCCTGCCCCCAAATCAGAAATGGGGGGCAATGAGTAGGAAAGGCTGCAGGAGATAAAAAAAAAAAGGACCAAATCTTATTCAGCTATGCTGGGAATGGTATGGGAAGAGCAAAAACTCACCCTGAACAAAGAAGCTTGTCTTTTCTTCTGCCTTCCATTTTCCATCCCGCTCATGAACAGTCACTGTGTAATTTCCACTGTCCCCTTTCACCACCTGACGTATTTGCAGAGTCCCATTTTGGAGTATCTTACACCTGCACTGGTCCTTGTTCACAAAGTACTTAACATCATTATCTTTGAGCTGAACCAGCCTCTGTCCCTCTCTCTGCCATACGGCATGGTATATGCTCCCAGAAGCAGAGATGTTGAGAAGAACCGTCTCATTCACTGCCTTGTAAAGCCGGTTGACGACAGAGCCTGTTAAGGGAAGCACAACCAGCCCATCAGTGGTCTCCAGCAGCCCTCGCTGCCATGCTCAGCAGCCACAGCAGTCACCCAAAAGGTTGTCCTTTGCTCCTCCTCAGGTTACCTGAGCATCTCTGCATTACCGTTGCCATCTTCTTCCCCTGCTCCAAAGCACCTCTTGGTTGTTCACTAGATAAGTGTCAGCATCCAGTTTAATTCTGAGAGGCAAGAAAGCTAGGAGTCCAGCTTCCAAAAGGTGACTTTTTATACCCTGGCTGACTTACTTGGAGTGACTCTGGATGCCAAGATTCATGGCTGCCTACGTCTTCAACCCAAACTTAACCCTTCCTGAAAATAAGGTCGCTTTGGTGTGTTTTGCACTTGGCACACGCTGGTACCCAGAGCACCCACCACTGCAAACATTACTGCAGGCAGCAAGAACACAGAGCAGCAGTGTCCCTGGACATAGGATCTGTTCAGCAACAACAGTGGTAACAATAATTATAACAATAGTGGCTGTGTCAAGCAGTGAGTGAGTGTAAGGTACTGAATGGGAGGCAGACCCACTGCAGTGCCCCCTCCTCAACCATCCCAGGCACCCTGCCCCACTGGAATATATCCACTTGATTTTCCTGGCACTCGACCCTGGTGGGGCAAGTAAGGCAGGCAGAAACAAGCAGCCACTCACATTCTGTGAACTGACGGGGTGCTGGAAACATTACAAGATAAGCAAAGGCAAAAAACCCCCTTTCTCTTTGCTGGTCTCCTTTGCAGAGAGAGCAGTTCAGAGTAGGAGCTTCCCAAAGGACTGGGCAGCACTTGGGGCTGCCAAAGGGGGTATTCAGGAAAGCCAAGGATGCTAAAAGTCTACACCAGAGGGGACGACAGGCCCTTCAGGCCGTGCCCAGGTGCCCTGCCCGCTCCCCTCCAGGCTGCTTCACACACGGCCCTTGCAGGACCCACCCCACAGAGTGCAAAATTTGTTGGGAGGTCATTTCAAGTACTGTCCCCACCCCTGAGGCAGGTGGAAAATCTGCAGGAGGAGGTAGAAACCTGCGTGCAAGTGTCAGGTGGGATAAGCTCACCGGCAACCGACCGTGCGCTCAGGGCCACGGATTATTTCATTTCTCATTTTCTCATGGTCATTCCTCCTCAACTTACGGGATGAAGCCAATCAGCAGGAAGAGCTGATTCTGCTCTAATTTTATATATTTTAAGCACTTTTTCCCCACAGAGAGAAAAACTATGCTTTCGCATATTTTTTTATTACAGTGCTTTATTCCTGGTATCTGGGATAATGACAAACTGCCCCACAGAGGGGAAACTGAAATCCAGAGGCTATTTCATTAAACTAACAATATTAGATATAATCAAAGAACTAAAATGCTGTGCCTCTGCAACAAGAACATTAATGCTGTAGTGCTTCTGGGCACATTCACCTAAATTCAGTCTAAAGAGAGGCTGTTCTTTCAGCATTGCCTTTCTTACAAAGTATTTGACATATCTAATGAAATATCCTGAAATCAAGCTATCAACTAAACAGCCTTGGAAACAGCTATGACCCACACAGCTGACACTACAGATTATACCCAAATATTTGAATTCTGACATTTGTTTCTGCTCACTCATGAACAGCTATTTAGAGCTAGTAACAGGATTTCTTTGCATAACAGAAACTACTTATATTTTCTCTCTGAAAGTAAAGGAAAAAAGTAATCTGGGTTTTCAAAGATAATTCAATGCCACCTCTGTGAACAGACCACCGAGACACAACTATCTGATCTCTGTAGTTTGGCTAGTAAAAAGCTGAGTATCCCACACATATACTAAAAATCTGTTCAGATAATGAAATATTTCTGTTAAAAAATGCCAACTGAAATGTGCTCCAAGGGGCAGAAAGATCTGAACTGAGAGCCCAGAGCTCACTCACGATCACAGGAAAGAGTTAGAAGTTCCCATAGTAGCTATAGAGAAGGAAGGAAGTCTTTGAAAAAAGTTTTCCATTCAAGGGAATAGTCATCATTTCTGCTGGGGAACCCTTCATAGATCATGTACATTAAAAAAAAAAAAATAATCCTTATTTATCTATTAATTTTGTTCTGAAGGAAAAGCAAAGCATTAAACAGCCATACATACAATCTGCATTGGAATGAAACAGAGAAAAAAAAAGTTATGCATGCTTGTGTTGTCTCCATCTCTTATAACCTTCTCTAATCTATGAGTTAACACCCTAATTAAGTTTTTAGATTAATATTTTAAAAAATAATGAGAACAATAAAGTACAAAATATAAAAGATATATGTATTTGCTTGCTGTTTTCACATTTTAGACCTCAGCTCCACCGAAGACACTGAAATATATCACTCTGTTAATATTTATGGAAGAATATAAATTACGCTTTCAAAAGATTTGCGCATCTTCGATAAGAAAAGGAAATTACATGCGATAATGCACAGCGAACAGAGGATCTCTAATGTAGTACAAGCTACCTTGAGGGCAGAAAGAAAACTGCATGCTGACATTTCTCATTATACATGTGTCAAATTAAGGCTCATTAACTTAAAACCAAAACTCTTTACAGCTTATTATTATAACTGGAATATGAAACTCAGGTCCTGCCCTCCCCCCGGCTGAAAATTAAATCAAATAATAACAGCAATAACTCAGATGTCTTCATTCATTGGAAAAGTGGAACTAGTTTCTTATCAGTAACAGCCCACCAAGTTGTAAATGGCTTAAAATGCAATTTTAACGTTAGCCCAGAAGAGAAAAAAAGGGTAAGAAAAACTCACATTTTACACTGGAAAATAAAAGCAGCAAGCACTTGACTAGGAAAATCCTCTCAAAGTTCATTTTCAGGGTCAAAAAAAAAAAAAATCCACTGTCTCCTTGTCTAATGACAGCTCCTGGCAGGTGAAAGGGTTGTCTGCTGTGAGCAGTCATGGGACGTGTCAGTACAGCCCTTGTGCCCTCCTCCCCTCCTCCAGCTCTCACCCCGGCACTTCTTGTTTCTAGCACAGACACACACACACACAAAAAAAAAAAAGGGGCAGAAATACCTCTCAGAGGAGGGTTTTGTCAGGATGGGGACAATGTGTAGCAACAAAGAAAATGTGCATTCAAGGCAGGAACGCCCCTGAGGTTTGCCCACCCAGCTGGAGGGTCAGCTGGGCCCTTGTCCTCTTCAGTGCTCACCCAAAGAGTTCAGCTCCAGCATCCATGTGCCACCATCCTCAAGAGATGGTTGCAGTTTTTGGGTCAGGTAGTGATGGGAATCCTTCTTCTCCCCTGTAGTCTTAGCAGCAAGGGGACAGCAAGCCCAGGGCCCCGCATGAGGACCAGGTGCCTGCTGGCTGTTGGACAACATTTGCAAAGGAGACACACTTCTCTTGGAAACCATCAGGAATCAGCTTCACATCAACACCTGATCCATGAGGGGCTTGCCAGTGCCACAAAGGCATCCTGCAGTCAGGGCCAGCATCTGGGCAAGCTGTGAGAGACGGATGAGCATGGAAGGGGATGAGAACACAGCCTTGGATGTAGCCATAAACCATCCCTGAAGCTGGCTGGTGTGGGAAGGAGCACGAGGAAAGAAGCTGTGAGGAGGCAGGGGAGCTAGGTGCAAAAACACATGAGAAGATAATAAAATCTTTATTCCTGATTCCAATATGAAACAGATGGAGTGGTGAGGATTTCTAATCTTACCCTCCTCAGCACAATTCCTCTGGCTACAGTGGCCACTGAAATCTTCCAGCTTTTTGTCACAGGTGTAGACCAAGAAAGAAGACAGAGGAACAGCTGTGGCACTGGAGATGTACAATATTTGATAAATCTTTCTTGTTCATTCATGCCATTCTTCTTCCTTGAAGTTAAAGGAAGGTCTTGTGAGACACCTCCTCTTCTCCAGCTTCATCATTTTTTAACCGCTACTAATGAGGTAAAAAACACCTCTTTTTGCAAAAAAAGGAGAAAAATTTATCTAAGGTAAAGTGCACTAAAGTCACAGTATTGCTGCCTCCAAACCAAGCTTTTCTTCCTTCTTTCTGTTATTATTTCCTCACAAAGAACGCACAACAGAGGTACACACAAAAGGAGAGAGGAAACAGCAGGAATGAGATGACATTTCTGTGCCTGACCTCCATCCTCTGCGGCAAAAAGCAAGCTGAGGGCAGGGGCTGCCGTGCCCAGGTATCTCCCCAGCCAAGAAGGTTGTGTCAATCTCTTGGACACATCTGCTTCCAGCCCAAGTGCTTAAATGACTTTGGGCAGCAACACCAATCTCTCCTGCCTTTTTTTTTGTTTTCTTTTTTTTTTTTTTTGCTGTGTCCATCAAGCAGAGTGGAGGGAGGCCCCCAGCATGCGGAAACCGCTGCCCACACTTTGCTCAGCTCCTTTCTTCCTCAGGGAAACATCCCTCAAAGCCACCACCGGCTTCCCCCCCCCCCGTGCGTTGTCTGTTTGTCACATGCTCGTATTGTGAACATGCTGGGGCAGGGTCTGTCCTTCTGCTCTGAGCACACACAGCCTGCTCAGTGCCATCTCGCTCACAGGAAGCTGCCTGCTGCGGAGGAGCAGGCAGAAACTGGGACTGGTACAAATCAAACACAAATGGAAAGATACGTGTGTGTGTGAAAAGTGAGGTAAAGCTCCATGGCAGCAGAACAAGGTGTAAAAGGATTCCCTGTATTAACAATGAAGGCCATGACTTCCAGCGAGTCAGTTTGTCAGGCCCACTCATGCTCTTGTAAAATGACAGCTGAAATGAGTCAGACTGAAAGCCCCTGTGCTCCAGCAGACCAGTTACAGCACACCAAACATCCTTGTTTCTGTCAGAGCAACAGGTCTGGAGCAAGAAACCAGTCCTGAAGGTCTGTTCAAAAATGAGCTTACTATGAGCAGTGAAGTCACAGAAGTGATGCCGGGCCTTGATATTTCTGAGGACTTGGGTGCATATGCACAAAATCAACCTGCTTAGAGATTCTGTGTGACAAAAGCACAGCAGGACCTGCACAGGGGCACACCTCTCATCTGCAGCAAGGATTCCCTGGGAGGTCCTGGCGTGTGCACAGTCCATCCCACCAAGCAGCCCCTTTTCTAACCAGCATCAGAAACCTCCTGCACCATCAGACCCAGCTGGACAAGGAGAAAGCAGCCCATGTCTCAAACCTCAGTCTCCCCTCCAGATAAGAAGTGGGGAAATGGCAATATCCTGCCAGCTTTACCCTCCCTCCCTTGAGGAGCAAGACAGTGCCATGCTGCAGTCCTGACTGGGCTTTGATTCCAATTTTAGAAGAAGGAAGGGATTTTCTGGATGTTACTGGGAAGGAAACACTGTAAGTCCATGCACTGATGTCTCTGTTTCCCCCCAAGGGAAGGCATTAAGAAGAAGGTGTCTGCAGGTGTCTCTGGAAAGCACAGCAGCTTTGGGCCACTGCCACAAAGGAGCTCTGGAAGCCAGTGTGGACTTTCAGTAACGTGGCACAGGATGCACATCCTGAAAAGGCATCTACAGCAGAGACCACTGGCAGAGCAGCCTCCCACAGCAGCTGGTGATCCCCCCAAGGCAGAGGGACAGGTGTGGAGAGAGCTGTGGCCTGAAGCTGTGTGTGGCCACAGCCCAGACACTGCCCCAGGCTGTGCTGGGCAGGATGAGGCGAGGTCTGCCAGCCCTGTGGATAACTGTGCTCTCACACTCTTCTGCTCCTGCCAGGCCTGTAGATAACTGTGCTCTCACACTCTTCTGCTCGCTGCAGACACCCTCTCTCCCACCCCTCACACAGGAAGTAACACCACTGGGCTAAACAAGCGCCAGCTGCAAAACCAGGGCACTGGTACAAAAGTAGATGTCTCCCAGTGCAGTGGTGCTGGACCTGCCTTCAGTTAGACCTGTCAGCTGAGGATGCTTGACCCCTGTTTACCCCACTGCTTTGCTAGAGACCTCCACCTTCTGACACACAGGAGAGCAGAGGACCAAGAACAGCCTTGGCAGTGGGCTGGTACTTTGCAGGCACTGCGAGCTCTGTGGTATTGTTTCCACTGCAAAAGCCACAAAGCATTGTAGTCATATGCAGTTGCTTCTGTGGCTTGCTCTCTCTCTCTTTTACTCTTCTGTTCTTTGTAATACACTACACAGTTTCCTCACAGGGAATGTAAGTTATCATACTTACATTTCCACGTAAAAGTGACAGACTCCCACACATCTGAAGGCAACATCTCAAGAGACAACATGCAGTTTTTCCCAACTCTTAATTCTTCAACTTAGTGATGAGCCAATAAACATTCATGCCTGAGGCTTATTTAAAAAAAAAAAAAAAAGAGAGAGAAAGAAAAAAAGATTGTTATCTGATCTACTAGGAAAGGAAGGCTACAAATACACTTAGCACGTTCTGATAGTTTGCAGCATCTCCTCTGGTATGAAGCTTAGGTCATAATAAATGGCATTTGCACCAGAGTTAGACACCTTGCACTCACCATGACAACCCAGGACCTTCACCATGAAAAGTGACAGGAATGTTGTAAATTCATACTTCTAAATTTCTCACAAGGACAGGCCTTTGGTGAGGCACAGTGTGTGAGGAGAAGAGCAAATGTGATCCTCATTGGAATGCCAGACAGGACATATATGGATTGGAAGCTTTTGGTAAGGGTAACCTTACTCTTGGGAGCTCTCCTGGGTTTGCACCCCAGCCTGCAAGACTAACAGCTGAGCCCTGGTTGGGTTGCCCTGGCTGGTAGCTGAGGGTTTCACAATGGTACATTCCCCTTCACTGTAGCTTTTTGCAGGACAGGGGGAATTGCAGGCAGTGGCTGGAGTGGGGAAGAAGTAAAGTCAGTCCTGGCAAGGGGAGTTGCCCCTGCACTATGACATGCCAAGGAACTGCTGGCTTCCACAGACAGTTTCAGCCATTTGGCTGATGAAGGACACATACTCCTTCCTCTTCACTTCTGCCTTATGCAGGGCCAGGAAAGGAAAAACTCCAGCTTGAATGAAGTGGTGCAAATATGAATATCATGAGCTCAAAATAGAGCTCTGGCCAAGGTTTTGGCAGGGATGCTGACTCAGAGCCTGTTAGGTGGAAACTGATAGCACTGATTTGCCTGTGTGCAATGGAAATATCCCCGAAATAGTGACACGCAATACCAACATTTAAACAGTTGCCTCCACAAATGGTTTTATCCTTCTCTAAAGAAATGTAAATGGAAGCTTTCAAACCACGAGTCGTGCAGAATAGTCCTCAGGTGGTTATTTGAAGAGAAATGGCTCCCTTGTGATGTCTGTAATCCCACGTAGAATAATAGAATATCCTGAGTTGGAAGGGACCCACAAGGAACATTGAGTGCAACTCCTGGACCTGCACAGAACCACCCCAAGAATCACACCATGTGCCTGAGGCAGGCTCAATGCCATGGTCACTTCCCCAGAAAGGTGGTTCCAACACCCAACCACCCTCTGGGAGAGCTTTTTTTTCCAAATATATAACCTAAACCTTCCCTTATACAGCCTCGTGCCGTTAAAGCATTAGCCCCAGGTGTTCTCTCTCAGAGTCATTTTCTTTTTTTCCACCTGTAAGCATGTGTCAACAGCCAAACCTCACAAAAGATACCCACTTTAATTCTGGTCTGAAGGAATGTAACCCCCACAGACCAAGCAGTCTGGCAATCTGTGGTTCACAACAACGACTGAGGCTAGAGCAGATGTCAGCATCCCATCAGTTGTTCCTGCAGATGGTGCCTTTCAGTCTTGCTGATGATTTCCATCATCTATAATGATCCTAGATTTAGGATCTAACTTTCAGCACCTTGTTCCAGTAATTTCAGTGACATAACTACTGCTGCAAAGCAGTCCAAGCATGTTTTCTGGCATGATGCAATCAATCTGTTTTATACAAGAAGCCAGATAAATGAACAGAAAAGC